TCAGTAGGAATCACAATTATGGGAAAGATTTGTGGATTTGGGGTTTTCATGAGCTGTAAGCCATAATCATCACAATTATGACAAATCACAGCTTGAATTATCGTGCTTTGCATGTAATGAGTCTGTCTCATATATTAGTTTCACCTTTTAGGTTGCATTACTGAAATAAATGAACTTTTGCACGATGTTCTAATTTTTGGAGTTTCACCTGTATGAAACTAAACGTCAACCTTTTTTCGAGCGACAGTTATTTTCAGCCAATTTTGCTCCAACTTATTGAGATTGTTCATGAGAAGGTTTTTATTATTTTGTTTAATAGAGCACAACAAGTTGTACAAGATGGCTACTTTTTGTTTCACTCAACAAAATATTGCTGGAGATATTATGTCTCAAAGTTGCTGAAACCTCAGAGTCCTACTGTAGAAGGCAAATGACTATATCTCTGCAAGTATTGTATTGGCAAACTTAACACTTTACCAATGTTCAATGGGACATGTGTGCATGTTTACACCACATTTCATCAAAATCCGTGATGGTCCAGCAGAGAGCCCCAGGCCATTTGACATGGAATGACCCAAGCTTCATCTAGTAGTAGATAATTAGTAGAGGGCTAGTGATGACTCATTTCACAAACTAAGATTATGATTTTCCATTTAATCCAATTGAGAATCATTGTTCTGCATCTAGAATAAAATGCAAAATAAGCACATTCTTGTGGTCTTGTATTCACATGCTGCATTCTAGTTTTCTATATAATTCTGGATTCCTTTTTCCTATATTAAAGATGATCATTTGAGATCAGTGGTATTGATGAGCAGATTGTTCAGGGTGAGATCCTATCCTGGATCCAGAGTGTTTCATGCAAAGAAAAAAATAACAGTGTATTCAGAGTTTTAAAAATTGATTTCTAGACTTCAGTGATATAAGTATCTTCCCTCTGTTACCATTATACTCTTATGCTTACCTGACTTTGTGACTCATTTTACCCTACTTAAAATTTCTTCTTGGGCCTGCACATTTTAAGACACAACTTAAGATATGGAGTTGTCCTTTGTAGGCTATATTGGAGTTGTGAACCGGAGCCAGAAGGATATCGATGGTAAAAAGGATATCAGAATAGCATTGGCAGCTGAACGCAAGTTCTTCCTTTCCCATCCTGCTTATAGACACATGGCTGATCGCATGGGAACTCCCCATTTGCAGAAGGTCCTGAACCAGGTAAGCTGTTCCTAAAGCAGTCTATTCATTTTTCTTGGCTCATTCTTAATTTTTACCATCAGCTGAACATCATGGAGAGTTTCCTTTACACTTTCTAATGCTGTATATTATTTTAATCCCACATGTGAGTTTTTCCCTCTCTCTTAATATCCATAAATCAATTAGCTATGCTTCAGTTTGGAGCTAATTTAGATATTACAAAGAAACAAGGAAGGATATCTTGGTTTATATTGTAGTTTGTTTAGGTCTCTATACCAGGCATAAACAATTCTGCAGGAGTATTAATACTGAATAAATATGAATGCATTTCTACTGAATGTGAGCAAACCTTGTTGAAGCCATAGATCTGTAGGTGACATTACATAGGACAGAAGGATTCTGCTCTTTCTTAATTTACAATAATGGGAACAAGTTAGAGCTTTCTTGGGGAGAGAATGGAGTATAAAGATTCTTGATTACTAGACGTACCTTATGATTATTATCTTTTCCCAACTTTTAGAACAGTTTGTCTATCGGATCAGCATTTTTCTTTGAGAACAAAATAGACTGACAAGTACTTAAGGAAATCGTGCATGACTCAGCCTCACTGGCTTCAAAAAGAGGATGGCTTATTTTAGTAATAAGAAACATTATGTAGTAATATTAATATAAACTTATTGGTGCTTCGTATCTTCTCTTCAGCAATTGACAAACCATATCCGGGACACCCTACCATCCCTGCGTAGCAAACTGCAGAGTCAGCTGCTGTCACTTGAAAAGGAGGTGGAGGAATATAAGAATTTTCGTCCTGATGATCCTACACGGAAAACCAAAGCCTTGCTGCAGTAGGTCAACTCTATACTAAACTCTGGTTCTCATTTGCAGAATACAGAATAACAGAATAGGAGGAGGTCTGGAGGTCTTCTAGTCCAACCTTAAGCAGGAGAGTCTATATACTATTTTCCTGTGTGCTGCTTGGCAAGTCTAAGCATGGGTTAAATTAGTCTGGTTGCCCAAGGACTGAGTTCAAATTCTTCAGCCAGGCCTCCTGCTCCTCCTTAAGGCCAGATTTTTAACTCAGTCTGGCCCATTCAGGACGAATTTTATTGAGCTCCAGCTGTTTTTTAATTAATTTGGCTTGTCCACAGGTTTTCTTGTTTTGGTTTATTGTTTTTCTTGTGTATCTTATTTATTTTGAATTTGTTGGAGTGAATTACTGTGTTGACTTCCAAGGTGAGAGTGTGGGGAGCAAGCTGGTGGAGGTGTTTGCCTTCCATGTCGCTAGGATTGGAGGCTTGGCACTTGAGTAATCCACTTTGGGAGGAAGTGCCACGAACTGCTTCCCTGGGCTTGAATTTACAGTTGTTGACTCGGGAGAGTTTTTTTCGCGGTGAACGTGGTGGCGGCTGCCATCTTGGACCCCCCCTTTCAGCTCGTGGCGCCCTCGCAAGCCTCCACTTCGCACACTTTTTGGCGCCAAAGCTCCAGAAAGATCGCCGCCGGGTGGTGTGTGGTTTTCCCCAGCGAGAATGCCTTTTCCTCCCATTTTGGCTGCTGAGAGATCAGAATTACTGAATGTTTCTAAAACTGCAAACTCTACGAACTGAACCTAGAATAGTAGAAGTCCTTGATTTTTCTGACTGCTTAGAGATAAAGTAGCTGGTATTAATTCCAAGTTGATTCTATTTTTAGTTTAGCTTCTCCGGGAGCCTTTTGGGGCGACAACAAGAAACTCTTGGTTACAATAGAATTTATAAGAAGCATTCCCCCTTACTGCATGATATGTGAACTCTCTCGGGTTAAACTCTATCCATTTCATTAAGAAAAAAAGTCTGTTTGTCTGGGTTTGGGTGCGATTGTATTTTTATTGGTCAACAACCAAAATAAAGTTCTATTAGTTTTCCGTAGGTGTTACAGAAAGTTGGTTTTTGATAATGACTTAAAAAATTAGAGTTTTATGTGAAGATTAAGATAAATCTGCTACTAACTGGACATACTTTTTAAAATCTTTCTGGCAATAACTTAACATTTTTCATAGAAAGATCCCAACAGAACTTGATTCAATACCTAAAAGCATCTCTGGACAGTCTTGATTGTTCAGTGCAGGGGTGTCAAATTGGCGGCCTGTGGGCCAGACGTGTCACATGCAGGTCACGCTCACCAATAACTCTGCAAAGGGAAAAAAAACATTGTGATACGTCACGTGACAGCAACGTGACACGGCGAGTTTGACACCTGTGGCTTAGTGAGTTTTCCACGATTTACCACATCTTGAAAAATGATCATGACCTCATTTATCTTTCTGCAGAATGGTCCAACAGTTTGCAGTTGATTTTGAGAAGAGAATTGAGGGGTCAGGAGACCAAGTGGATACACTAGAACTCTCAGGTGGAGCCCGAATAAATCGAATTTTTCATGAGAGATTCCCCTTTGAGTTAGTCAAGGTAAAGTGCTAAAAACTATTCTCCTTAGAGGAATGTATACATGATTTCCAAATATGTTGTTCACCAATATTGAATCTATATTTCATGATCTTGACAAATATAAATCCAATATACAAGTCCATTTCAATGTTTTTCTATGCCTAGAAAGAAGAATTTATTTTTGTTGGAAATGTTTTGGAAACATCCTGGCAGTAAGAATGTAACAAAATATGTACGTTTGTCTTTCTTTAAAGTATGATGCAGAGGCATTTGTCTATATTAAGAGGTACACAAGTGGAAGGTATATATTCTTAAAAATACCTTATGTGCTAAGAAATTCACTGCATACACGTGGCTGCTACAAAGGTTGCTGGGCTTTGAGAGACTGCTGACCGGCAGAGAGGAAGGGAGGGAGGCTAGTGCAAATGCTCATTACCTGTGTGTAGGCAGGAGCCAGGAGGAGGCAGTTCTGTGGATCCACATGGCGAAGGTCAGGCAGGGCGAGCGTGGGAGCAGCAGCGGGCATGGCGCTGCGCATGCACAGAAGCAAAAGCCAAGATGGCGGTGCGTATGGTGCCGCTGGGAGAACCAGTTCGGGGGCGTGGCCATGTTACCATTACTACCGGTTCGGTCCGGTACGCTAGATTTCTACTAGCTATTAGGCCGTACCGGACTGAACCAGTAGGAACCCACCTCTGCTTACAGCAGGGAATATAATATCACAATGCAGGCAAAAACATCAGGTGGCATCCCACAATTATTTTTTAAATCAAAGTCATTAACATCAAACAAGATGAAATTGCACAATTGTACACATGCTATTGTCTTTTGTGACACAATAATACGACTAGGTAACAATCAACAATTATAGCTTTATAGCAATATATGTGCACTGAATTGTAGCAGAATTGTAAGGGTGGATTGCTACAGATTCCATGACTTTGAATGGGCTTATATGTATTATGGAACTACATTCCTGTAACCTTCTTGGAAGATCAAGCTTACAACCCTCAGTCAAGATTTTTCAAATGTAGATGCTGATTGCAGGTGTAACAGCAATTGGGTTTTGCGTGCTTTTCTTCCTGATAGAAAAATCTTATCACAAAGTTTCACATTTTGAAGATTTTTGGTTGTTGAGATATTTTGCAAATTATAGTACTTTTTTCTAAAACTAATACATGGTATATAACATGTTGTGTTCAAAAACATAGAATTATTACAATGACAATAAACCAGCAGATTAAATGTTAACCTAGAGTGGCAATTGGGATTTTTTGTATAATCCTGCTTCTTTCTTTTCATCCATGGGAGTGCTTGGAAGCCATTGGATTTCACCAGTCTTCCAGCCAGGAGATCCCTGCTAGGCTATTATAGCTGAGATGCTTGGCCCTGCCCCTTTTTCCCCAGAAACTTTGATGATGCCACCTACTCATACATCCATTCTTCGCTCATGAGAACAGGTGTCGGTCCCAATCGGGCTCATAGACTGTAGCTTGTTTACCCTGATCTAGAGTGGAAATAGTAATAGTTCCTTTTCAAATTTCAAAGACCTGTGTTGAATTATTTTATCTATGTTTTATAGATATTGGAGCTAGCTGTCGTTAGATTAGTTCTTATTTAAATATGAAATGTTGCATTGTTGGAAATTAAATAGAACTTTATCAATAAAATATAAGCCACGGTGGTGCAGTGGTTAGAATGCATTACTGCAGGCTACTTCTGCTGCCTGCCGGCTGCCTGTAATTTGACAGTTCAAATCTCACCAGGCTCAAGATTGACTCAGCCTTCCATCCTTCTGAAGTGGGTATTTAGAACAGATATAGTTCATATTTTTGAACTTCATCTTGGGAGTGGATAACTTGACACCAATTTGAGAAGTAATAATATGAAATCATCTAGTAATTAAAGCATTCAACTAATATGATGAAGATTTTATTTATGGATCCAGATAAATTTCCAAGCTCTTTTTTGAAGAACAGATACATAATATGCTTCCTTACACTTGGGCTGTCCATGTCAGGCTGTCCATGAATGCTTCCAGGTTTTCCCACCCAGTTGAAAGTTCAAAACCCCGTCCCAACACCCACAAGTCTATCACAAGTATGGCAAGCCTGAAATCCAAAAAGGACAAGAAGGCTTCAGGTCTGACAGTCCAACTTTCCAACGCCATGTCATAATATGGATTCTCCATCCTATGCCAGGAAATCTGGAGAGTAATTATTAATAGTTAGCATCATTGTTGCTGTGACTTGAATATTGACTAAAAAGTAGGGTATATAGATGCTAAAGTGTACAGTGAAATTCAGTGGCCCTCCTCCCACTAGATGGAAACAGAATTTATCCCTGAGCTTGGATGAGAAGAGCTACCAGTTTCTGGATGCTCTCCTTCCACTGGTTATTATGGTGAGCACTTTGCTCTTACTTATTATATCCTCAGCTCTTGCATCTTGACATAGGTTTGCACTATAAAATGGCTGTCAGTCATGACTTCACATAAATGCAGATATTTTTGGAAAAAGTCTACGCATGGAAGAAAAAGAGGTATTTTGGTTATATATCAGCATTTTTCTTTTAGATGGAGTTTGATGAGAAAGATTTGCGACGTGAAATCAGCTATGCAATCAAAAACATCCATGGCATAAGGCAAGTGTTCAAACTGGATTGAATGTACATGGCATAAAATGTATATAATGATACTTATCTGATGCATCCAAAGTAGCTGATAGTTTGGGAAGCTGTTTGCTACTGAAAATATTTCCTATTATCTTGAAATCAAAAAGAAAAATGTTGATGAGAATGTTGTACTGAAACTTTATTTATTTCTATTCCACTTTTATTATTTTTATAAATAACTCAAAGCAGTGAACAAAATTTTTAGGCTGAGAGAGGGAGACTGGCCCAAAGTTACCCAGCCAGCTTTCCTGCCTAATGTTCTGCTTGCCTTAAACCACTCGATCAAACTGATGATTATTGATTATCAGTTATTGGCATGACGAGAGATTCACAAATCTAAACTACAGCATCTTCCTGTTAATTAATTTCAGCCAGAGGGGAGAAAGAAAAAAGCTTAGGACATTAGATTGTAAATCTATTGAGAAGTTTTTGATTTCTGTTGTAATAGGAGGGCAAGGGGAATGGCACAGCATTTATGTGATGATTCCCTACCCTCTATAATTTCTTTTATTTTGTTTATACTGCAAATGAAGATGTAAGTGATAGAAAAATATGTTGATTGTTGAGATTGTATTGGTTTAGATGGCTAGTCTGGAATGATTTTTTTAAAAGAATAAGCTATAGTTGGGATGCATGGGTTAGGTGATTCTTGCTAATACACAAGAAAACTAAGTTATTACTTCCTGTTATTCCTAGCTGCTTTGGGGGCAACAACAAGCAAAATCCATTGCTTCCAGAACAGTTTTTCCCCTGATCCAGCAAGAGTATCCATTGTGATCTATTTGGTAGCTAGCTGTTTTTCACACTTCCGCATTCTAATTCTCTGATAACTAATTAGTAAAGGAAAACAAATTCTCCTAAAATACATAATGTTGGCATTTCCTTTTTTATATTCAAAGATATTGTAAAAACATTATGAACAAGCATATTACAAATTCAATTTGCAAAATACCTTTCAACAACAAATATGACTGTTCCTATCTCTTTCTATAATGATCTTTATTTTCTGAAGTCCTTGCTCCATTCCAATATTATTTAACTAACATTACTAGCAGAAGGAGGAGAGGCTTCGTTGCCCCAGAAAAGCCGTCTTGCTAAGGGAAGGGATTTTGTGTTCTGGAATGTTGCCCATCTTTAAACCTCTTTTTCCCCCCCTCCCCACTTGTTTTTTCTCCGCTGTGTCTATGCTCTTCTATCCTCCCTGTGTTGCTATAGGACGGGACTATTCACACCAGACTTGGCATTTGAAGCCATTGTGAAAAAGCAGGTGGTGAAGCTGAAAGAGCCTTGTTTGAAGTGTGTCGACTTGGTTATTCAGGAATTAATCAATACAGTTAGGCAGTGTACCAGTAAGGTATTGAACTGGCTATTGTAGCTCTTACTTGACTGAGTTGGGAAACCTAAAACTTTACTATCCTATTTTTCCTAACTTGCCAAATACAACCTCCAGGCATTGCTGCAAACTTCTTCTAAAACCTTGATTGGCTGAAGTTGAGATTGTCCCGTTCCCTATATATTTATAAAATGCCTAAATATGGCTTTATGTAGTCCAGACAACAATCTTGGTATCACATTTCAGTTAGCCTTAGCTCTCTCTTGGTTTCATCCTTTGATCTCAAACAGAAGCATTTGTGAGCTGTCTGGAGGTTGTTCAAACTAGTGAGCGGATTTCTTCTTGGATCCTGGCTTTCTATTAAGTGCATGGCTTCTATGATCTGCCATTTCAACCACTCTCTCTGAATGTCTTTCATAGCAACAGGGCCAATAAAGCTAAAGTTGTTTTAGCAGTTTAACTTTAACTACATTGGCTGAAGTAATGCACTGACTCTGATCTAAAAGTCTCATTCAAATTCCATCATTTCAGTATAATTGGCTTGGCCATATATTTAAAACCTGATTTTTTCAGGAAAACTGACTTCTCTCTGATTATATTTTTGGCCTCAAAAGCAGGCTATCCAAACTAAGATTTCAGGATCTCATTGTCTGTGTATCTTCTTGATATTTTTTTATAATTAGCAAAGTGCTAAAGAACACTCTATGAAGAGTAGTTTACATTGCTTGGCGTTGCAGTGCTATATGTGATAGATTAAATCTGTTTCTGGCTGAGGAATTGAACTTTTGTTGATCCGTGGTGAAGAAGCCAGCACTTGCTGTCCAAGGTCCTTCAAGTCCCACTTGCTCAGATGAAACAGGATTTCTGGTTGTCTGTCTGTTAGTCTGTTAAATTGATTTGCTGCCCATCTGATATTGAAACAACTCTGGGAAGCTTACAGCATTAAAACATCAAAATCCTAACAGATACTGTAAATATTTCTAAAACAATGACATGAAAATAATAACAATAAAAATAAATTCATAATTAAAATTATAGTTAAAAGATGAGGGAGGGAGCAGAATGCATGGAGGTGGGAGTGCCTCTTAATTAATTAATCACTTCCAATGTGATGCTCCTCCATTGGTGCCCCAAGCAATCTTCCAGCTCTTGGGGAAGGTCAGAAGGGTTGGAGCCAATCTCACCTCGAGGGAGAAGGTGTTTCAAAGGGCAGGAGCAATGGCAGAGAAGGTCCTTTTCCCGAATCCCCCCAGATAGAATTCCTTGACTTCCTCTGCCAGTGTAGTTGGACAGGCCAGTTCCAGGGGCTGAGATGGTTCTTCAAGTAAGCTGGACCCATACCATACAGGGCTTTTACAATAGTAGTTGTCCAGCTGGTATGTACTGAGATACCAAAGGACACATTAAAGAAGTCTTTCCCCAAAAATAGAATATAGGACATTTTTATGTTATAAAAGGTAAAGGTTCCCCTCACACATACATTCCTGACTCTAGGGGGCGGTGCTCATCTCCATTTCAAAGCCGAAGAGCCAGCACTGTATGAAGACGTCTCCGTGGCACACGGAACCCTGTTACCTTCCCACCAAAGGTGGTCCCCATTTTTCTACTTGCATTATTTATGTGCTTTCGAGCTGCTAGGTTGGCAGAAGCTGGGACAAGTAACGGGAACTCACTCCATTATGCGGCACTAGGGATTTGAACCGCTGAACTGCCGACCTTTCAATCGACAAGCTGAGTGTCTTAACCACTGAGCCACCATGTCCCTTTTTTATGTTACAGAAATAACTTCTTAATCTGAAAACAGGTACTGGCAAGATGACAGAGGAAGAGATTATAAGAATGATAAAATAGGACTGTGCAAACAGTGACCACTGAAATGCAGTTGAAGCACTGATTTCTGAAAGAGGTCTCTTGTTTACTGATACAGCCATCATGTACATAAGGACCTATATACTGTACTGGAATTTTCTTAGTAAACCATTTGCTCTGCATATAAAAAACATATATGTTACACAAATATTGTCATTGACATGGAGAATACATGTAGATATTGAAAAGCAGTAAGTTATGTGAGTCTTGTGATCTTTGATTCAGTCAGACAAACAATAACTCAATTCCATGCTCCAGTAATGATGCTGATTATCTATTCCAGAAGTGGAAAGTCAATAATTCTATTTATTAAAAGTGGCAATCATCACCAATGCCCTTCTCTCCCCCCCCTCCCACCCCTATTTGCCCCAGGTGCCTGCTAGGTAAATGGCTTTCAGACATTGGCAGCCAACCACAAGTCAAAGCTTAAGTCTGCTATTACTCTCTGCGGAGCACAATGTTTGAAGGGAGTTTGAGTCTAGTCTTTTGAGGTGAAAAGTTGATTCTAGCACAACTCTCTTCCATGAAGAAATACTTAAAAATATGCTTCTGACATAAGAAGCCTTTCTGCTGTTTTCTGTGTTTATATTTGTGCTTGTAACCCATGTGCCCAAGTTGGCGGATTATGCTCTAGATCAGTGTTTCTCAACCTTGGCAACTTGAAGATGTCCGGACTTCAACTCCCAGAATCCCCCAGCCAGCGAATGCTGGCTGGGGGATTCTGGGAGTTG